TCTCAAAATAGCGACGCGCCAGCGGTCCGCCTCAGAATGCCTTCCTTTTTAGACCAGAACGACTATGGGCGCACAAATGAGCGCTAATGCATTTGCTATTTAAACAGCGTAGCGCAACGCCTCAAAACGACTCTTGCGTCAAGCTGAAACTTCTAAAAGACTATTGCGTCACGCCTTGCGCCACATTGCGCCAGGTGTATTATAGGGCCCAAAATGTCATCATAACGATCTAACGTGGAGATCCTAATGTGGAGATCCCAATAAGATCTAACTGTATTGTGCATTTACACTGTGGCCATACTCATCAATTTAAACACACCAAAAACAACATTAACATTATTGCAGCCATTATAAAAAGGTCATTCCCAGGCACTAGACTTTTCTGTCAGAATATTCGAGTGTCAGAATGTTGTGGGACTGCTGTACAGGAATTATTTTTAAGGATTATAGATTTAGCGGTTTTTATTTTAGTGGGTTTTCTTAAAAGCATGATGGTAAAACACGAACGCTGTTACGAATGTATTAAAAAAAAAAAAAAAACTAATTTGCAGATCTTCTAACATCCGGGTGCAGCTATGCTGCCGTTGTGGTTGGTGTATTCTGGGATATTTTCTTGGTTTTAAGTGTGGTCCTGAAGAATCTCAATTCGAAGGGCTATCAATCCCTTCCCCTTAGCCATACACCATCAAGCTAAAGAGAATTGGGAAACCCCTACCCCTTTACGTGAACGTGCAAGATGAGGCATAGGGGTAAGGGCCAAGGGGTAGAATTGGGATTGGGCCAAAGTCTGTCTGTTACAAACAAGCAGTTTACAACTCCTCTCTAAATTACAAGCTACAAGTTACAAGCTAACAGAAAAAAAAAAGTTTCAAATCAGCTTTCTGGCAAAGTTTTCAATGACAAAGTATCTAGCTTAAGAAGATTCTCTCAAAGTTTCAAACATACCAGAAAGCTCCTAAATTTTTGCATAAACATTTAGGGTTCTTTCAATATTACAAACACACATCTACAATAATCATAGCCTACAGGAGTATTGTGAGAGCGGTTTTATGTTTTTCTCGAATGTTATTTCTCAAAACATATGGCATTATTTGCTTCAATGTTTGTCTTTTGCTGTACAAATATATACAAATCTTGTAAGAAAAAAAATCGAAAGAACCATTCAGATTAAATTTAATTTCAATCTTCTGGAGGGACTGAATTTAACAATCTACGCTGCATTGTTAATCACATATTCTACAACAATACAATCTATATACATTGTTCATGTTTTTTCTTTTTAATGTTACAAATTGTTTAGAATGATGAAGCAACATACAGTAGCCACAAATGTTTTGACTTTCAGAACATCCAGCAATCATTCGGGACTGTTTTATTACTCAATGGGAACGTTAGCTATATAGTAAATATGGCCACTGTCTTATTGTGACATTATATCGTTATGATAACATTATATATGCCTTAAGTGATGTGATCTTGTTATCTCATTATATCGTTATGATAACATAATATATGCCTTCAGTGATTTCCTGAAGATAAATACCAAAAACATAACAGCTGTAATAAGCAGTCACGATTGTCTGAACTCATATGAAGTGAGAGATCGCGATGACAAATGATGACATGTGCGGATGCTGTAGTGCTGTCCCAATTCTTGGGGGTAAATTTTGAAGCCCTTCCCTTTCACACCCGGTTTAAAGGGCCAAGGAGAAAGGGGAGGGGGAACAAAAATAGAATTTATTTATTTATTTTTGCTCAGAAGGAGCGTCAAACAGTTTGATTTCCTCAGCTGTGTGTTTGTGGGCTGGTAAAGCAGTATAGATCATCAGCTGTCATTATTGGAGATCAAGAGACAGTGAATCACACATAAACTTCAGTGCTTCAGGAAAGTTGCTGTTCAACATTTTGGTCCCTTTATTAATCACAATTCCAAGCAACAGAACCACCATGATCATGAAATCACCAGCTCTACATACCACTTTGCTAGACAAATAAATGATAAATAATCATTAAAAAATAATGGTAATAATAAAAAAACTCACAAAGCGTAGTCAAAGAAAAAGCAGGCAGTGAATTCATCGAAATACCAAAATAAAGCAAGTGCCGTAACATTTGTGTGATGGCTGCTTTTCAGTCAAACATTCAAAAATTGGTCTTCAAAACACGTCTCAGCAGTCGAGAAACAATTATCACAGTCAAGTGACAGGTTTCGTGCAAAACTTTTGGATTTACAGTTAAATTCACTAGCTTTTATCACACTGGAAAATGCAGATGGCCGGTGTCTGAAAGCTGGAGGAGTTTGAAAAGCTTCTCAACCAAATTCTGGTTTAGAAACACGATGTGTTCAGTTGCCAGTGCTTTTATTTTTCAGGTCACAATGCAGAAACACAATGTTCCTGATATGCATCTTGTACATGATTTGATGGCAGACCTTTTTTTTTTCTTTTTGTAAGTATGGCACTTCAAATAAATAAAAAAATGCAAGAGGATTTACAAATACGTACACATATTTCAGGAGTGAATCTCACAAAGAAATGTCAAAAACTAAAATAAATACTTAAATAAATTTAAATAAAATATATATTTATATATTTTTTATTTTATTTTATAAAGCAATGCTATTTTAAAGATTTTTTTCTCTTTCATTAACAATTAGGCAATCAATGCTCATAAAATATCTATTTTCCTATTATCTAATAGTAAATAACTATTTGTGAAATTCACCCTTGGAGGTAACAAACTTATACAACCCAGGCTTATTGTGATTACATACCCCTATATACATTTCTGGAGGTTGCCAAATACATCCCAGTTTTTGTTTGACAGACCGAGCGATTATCCCCACTCACCACCTTCCCTAAACCCAACTGACAGTTTTCAAAAGCAATCCAGAAAAAGAAAAGCCCTTGTGACTTTTTTTTACCACGTTTTCAGATTTTACCACATTCTCACTGTTATTTAGTTATTTATTTTATCTTGCTCTTGTTTTTAGCCCCTTTCACACATACCGACCTTTCAGGAAAATCACCGGCAATTTTCCGAATGGGATCATGTGTGAACGAGCCCTTCTTGAAAATACAGGTAAATTTTTCTGCAATTTTCCGGAAAGAGAAGTTGTAACATTACTATTAACTTGCTGGAATGCTGCTATGTGTGAACGCAGAAAGAAAATTGCCGGAAAGAGTGCGTTTATGTTTAGAACGCGCTGAAGTGAGACGTCTACTTTAGCCAATCAGAACACTCAGACGCATTCACAGCCGAAATGTTTATGAAAATAAAAGCCTTTGAATATTTCTCTAGACACATTTAGCAGCTAGTTGTTAGTCAGATCCAGCCTGATCTCACAAGAAAACGTAAGTATTTTACGTTTTGCCAGTTTAGTGGCTAATTCGCACGTAAATGTACGATTTTAAAAAAGAGGCGTGGCACCTAACTCCACCCCTAAACCCAACCGTCATTGGGGATGAGCCAAATCATGCTCATATGTACAAATTAGATCATACGATTTCATACGAATTAGCCACTAAATCAAAAAGTTGCGAATTGCCGTGAGATTGTGTTGTCAGATCACGTTTCTATGTTCCTTCTTAACACCAACTGTGTAAAAAAAATTATCGATAACAATACAATAGTCGATATCGATTTGTTTACCTTCAAGCTCTGCTTTACTTGCTTGACCTGTGTGCACGTGAAGCAGCCGGTGAGTGCCAGCACACACACATATTATGTACATCTCGACATGTGAAAGTGTTCCTCCAAGTTTTCATCAATGATGTTCGCAATACTCATCCAACCACAGAATTTGTAATGTGTAATCATTCAGCTGCGATTTGAGCCTTTGGATGTCTCTGGGACAAAGCAGCCGCATGAATGCTAATGCTTTAAATAAAAAAGAAACCATCAACAAAAGCCCGACCTCTTCTATGTGTACAAATATAAGCGCAGCTGTTCAGAGCTCATTCCTGGTTAATGATGTCAGAATTTATCAGTATTTTGGAATGGATGTGCGAATGATCTTTTACAGAAAAGTTCCAGAACGTCCGTGTTTGTGTGAACAGAGCTTTTTTTAAAATTTACCGGTAAAGTTGTTTTGGAAAATTTCCAGATTTGTACCGGCAACACTACGTGAAAGAGGCTTTTGTCTTTCCTGCTTTCTGGAACCGTTCTTCACCGGTCTGGCCTAACCCTAACCTAGTCGTCTGTGTCCAGGCCCGGATTGGCTAATCGGGAGAACCGGGAGAATTCCCGGTGGGCCAGTCCGTTTTTTGGCCGCGAGGGCCGGTGTCCCTAGCTGCTTGCACTCTCAGCAGTTGCACTTTTTAAATTTATTTGTTTATTTGACCATAACCTCACTCTTTTTAACCATTATTTTGCCGCAGCTTCGCTCTTCTCGCAGCCCCGTGAGCTAAATGCAGCCCACAGGTTAATGATAATCTTCATTAACCTGCGGGCTGCACCCCATTTCACCCCAAACAGCGGCACCTTACTGAATATTAATTAATATTAATGAGTATTACACCTGCTCAATGAAAATCAGATGATTTACTACATTAATAAATCTTAACTTTTAATTTTAACATAACTTGATCAGAAATCTAAAATGGAAAGAAAAAGAGAAGGGTAAAAAGTAGAAATCAATAGGAGCAGATAACATAGCAGCACTTAAAAGCGCTATCGTGGCCTAGTGGTTAGCACGTTACGCATAAACGCAGCCGACCCGAGTTCGAGCCTCACCAGAGTAAAATATGTGTTAAGACATAAAATACTGTTTGGGTTACTTATGTAGGAATACATTTTTTTTTGTGTGTGTGTGTGTGACGACTGTTACAAAGGACTGGATATCTATAAAGAATTAATGTTCTCATATTTATGAAAAACATTTGAAGTTCTAAAGCAGCTGAAAAAGACGAAAAAGACGTGTTAGTGTCATTTGAAACTGAATTGGAAATTATGTTATTTTAATATTGAGGTGGGCCGGTCTAAGGCTTGAAACTCCAGAGCTAAAAAGGATGCCCACTCCGGCCCAGTCTGTGTAAATTTGCTGATGTATGCTTCGAGTTCTGGACAAACTGGTAACGTCAACATGGAGATAATCGGTCAGCTGGTAAGTGTGAAAATGAGACGGCGTCACACTGTTAGTGTTCTTTTTAAAGATGAAATTCGTCCGTACGTTCATTTGGCTGCATAATTCACGATCTCCAGAAATGTATACAGGGTAAAATTTTCAGAATTGAGCCTATGTTGAACATATAAAGTGCAAATGACAAACAGAAAATACTTTTTTCAGAAGATACATTTTTACTCTTCAACGTTCACTGCCCACATCAAGAAACCAAAATGGCAACACCTATTATTTATAACACTAAAAGAAAAGACAAGAAACATCAACAAAAGAAACATTACCCTAAAACGTCCATCTTTTGAACCTCTTTATGCTGGTTTGTAGGCGAGCGGTGAGTGTGTTTGTGTGTGTTTTATGAGAAAGCAGGCAGAGTGAAAACGCACCAAAGGAAGGAACCACAAAAAAACTCATCATCAGAATAACAAAAATATCCGTTCTCACGTTTCTCTGCAAATTCACTTTTAAGCTTTTTGTTGTTGTTATTTCTCTTTAAATCTGTACAGAGCTCAGGGAAAGTCTATTTGGTGATTCCCAGCCGGCATGTAGAAAGAAGCTTTTTTTTTTTAATCTCTCTTTTTTTTTGTTCTTTACATTGATGGGTAACATTCAAGGCGCAGAGCTAAAAAGGAAAAGGACTGTACAAGATCACTTCACGGTCCAGGATACACGCTCGGATGCTGGACATTGACAGAAGAAGAAAGAAATGGCAAATAACATTTTATTTATACAGTATTTTACAGCGTTCCCGTTGCTGAAGGACGAGATGAGATGTCGTTCTGAGGAGGAAGAGAAGATTGTTTCTCTTGTTTTCCTGCGTTCAGAAGCCGTTCAGACTCTCCAGTGCCACTTCATAACAGAATTTGTACTGCTCCTGAACACAAAAACAACCAGCAGAGAAACATCACGAGCGGTTCAAAGCAGACGACGCTCAGGGGAGATTTCCCTCATAACCCCTGCATTAATAATGCAATAACATCATTATACAGTCGCTTTTATTAAAGGAGAAACATCTGCTAATAATGGAGGAATAGCCCCATCAGCTTATTGTTGACAAACACTTTCTAACTTCTCACATCTGGCCAACATGTTTCCATTATACACTACCTGACAAAAGTCTTGTCGATTATTCAAGTTTTAGGAACAACAGATAATAACTTGACTTCTAGTTGATCATTTGGTATCAAAAGTGGCTTATATGAAAGGCAAAGGCCTCTAGATTATGCTTATTTTACCAAAATAAAATATGATCATGTCTTGATTTATAATTTTTGGTAACGCTTTCTTTTACAACCCGCAAAGTACCGCGTAAGTACAGTGAAATTACAGTGTACTTTTCTGTACGTACTGTGTAAGTATAATGAACGTATGTGTAGGTATGAGGGAACAAACCGTAATGCTTGGGTAAAAAGGGGGTAACAACCAGATGTTCATCACAAAAATTACCGCGTAAGTACAGTGAAATAACGGTGTACTTTTCTGTACCTATAGTGTAAGTATAAATAACGTTTACGTAAGTATAAGGGAACAAACTGTAATGCTCGGGTAATAAGGGGGTAACAACCAGATATTTAGCATGAAAGGTACCGCTTAAGTACAGTGAAATAACGGTGCACTTTTCTTTAAATTGCAAAAGAACAAACCATAATGTTTGCGTAAAAGGGGAGTAACAATAAGATATACATCACGCAAAGAAGTATATTAAGTTTACAATGTACATTTCTTCAAGTATTGTATACATATAAAGAATTATGCAAGGATGGTGACAACCTATTGCTATCTGCAAATGTACTGTATATGCACCTGCGTGAGTCCATTAGTACTCTTATTCAGTGCTTGGGTTTTATATGGGGTGTTTAATGAATAAAAGGTTTACAACCTGTGAAATTATGAACGCTTATTGTATACTGTATGTATTTTAAATCTGCAATTCAATATCAAATATATTTCCATACACTACTTACCTTATGTTTACTCGTCGATCTCACCAAAGCCATCAATGTCTCCATAACTCACTATCAACAAATAACTTTGCATGACATAGGCCTACTGTCAGGGTTCAATGCAGATTAAAACAGGCTCGCATCTTTACTGCTGTTGCACAGGGGGGCTAACTGTTGCATTTCAGTAAATGTATAGCTGATGCTTTATAGAAAAATCTAGTAATTTGGTCTTCAATCAATAAAAACTGCTGCTGTAGTTTACTCTGTTCTTAGTGTTCAAGTATACACTAGTATGTTAAAGTTCAGCTTCTTCCCTCTTTGTTCCCTGTAGTTAAAGGGTAAATACAGTATTTGTTCCTCCCTTGTTCCCTGTACTTACAGGGTAAATACCACATTTGAGGGTTGTAAATTAAAGTGAAGCTTTGTTCCTCTCTTGTTACCTCCTTGTTCCCTGTACTTACAGGGTAAATACCACATTTGAGGGTTGTAAATTAAAGTGAAGCTTTGTTCCTCTCTTGTTACCTCCTTGTTCCCTGTACTTACAGGGTAAATACCACATTTGAGGGTTGTAAATTAAAGTGAAGCTTTGTTCCTCTCTTGTTACCTCCTTGTTACCTGTACTTACAGGGTAAATACCACATTTGAGGGTTGTAAATTAAAGTGAAGCTTTGTTCCTCTCTTGTTACCTGTAGTTAAAGGGTAAATACAACATTTGTTCCCCCCTTGTTCCCTTTAGTTTACAATGTAAAATCTTGAAGGCAGTGAAATAAATATACAAACACACAATATATTTCTTCTTTACTTTGTAACCTTTATTTTAATAAATAAGCATTTTAAAAGACTTCATATTAATCAAACATTGTCTTGTCTATCATTGCCTATACTCATTCATTTTCTCTTCGGCTTTGTCCTTTTGTTAATCTGGGGTCGCCACAGTGGAATAAACCACCATCTTATCCAGCATATGTTTTACGCAGTGGATGCCCTTCCAGCTGCAACCCATCTCTGGGAAACATCCATACACACCCACTCACACACATTCACTACGGACAATTTAGCCTACCCAATTCACCTGTACCGCATGTCTTTGGACTGTGAGGGAAACCGGAGCACCCAGAGGAAACCCACGCGAACGCAGGGAGAACTCCATGCAGAAACCTTCTTGATGTGAGGAAACAGCACTACCTACTGTGCCACCGTGTTGCCACCCAGCTGCAACCCATCACTGGGAAACATCCATACATACTCATTCACACACATACACTACGGACAATTTTACCTTACCCAATGTCACCACATATTTTTGGACTTGTGGGAGCACCCGGAGGAAACCCACGCTAACATGGGGAGAACATGCAAACTCCACACAGAAATGCCAACTGACCCAGCCGAGGCTCGAACCAGCGACCTTCTTGCTGTGAGGCGATTGTGCTACCCACTGCGCCTGCCTATACTCAAACAGCAAAATAACACATTATTTCCTTCCCCCTTTTTTTCTGGCATCTCTTGCTTGGCTTCCTCTTCTGCTCTTCTCAGCTTCCACTGAGGACTCTGATGGTGAGTGGCTGATGAAATCCCATGGGTCTTGCTGCTCTGCATTTATATAAAATATATAAACAGACAGAAAGGCTTTTAGTAAGCTATAGACATGTTTATTTTCCTGTTTAATGTGTGTGTAGTGGTTGTCCAACAATTTCACACACTAAACATTTACAGATACCATACACACACTATACATTACTATCAAACAAAGGTACTATCATCAGATCATATGGGAGATTGTGATCATTTATAGTGATAATAATTAAAGCGCAGAGGGGAAAAGGCTTAAATAGTAGGCTACTGTGCTAAAGTCCTAGGCAAACGTTACTAGTAATTGGGTGGGGGGGGTATTGATATATCAAACTGGCATGCTACAGAAAATATCAATTTACATTTCCAAACATTAATTTTGTCATAAACTTTGCTGTAATTAACGTATAAAGGGAGAAAATCGTCTGCACAGTCAGTATGACAACAGCCACAGAGATCTGACCTGCTCATCATCCAGTCTTTCTGGAATGACATGAATAAACTAAATCCATAGGAACTTTGGCAACATTTCTAAGATGTGCAAAGTAAACGACAGTAAACATTGGTAAATATTCGCTGCTGGCCGTTTAGATTCGGCCATGAACTAACGTTAATGTTACGCTAAAAACAAATGAAACAAAATAAATATAATCTGGTTAATGCACAATTTCTAATCGTAACAATAGCCTTATTTACTGACAACGATTTACTCACATGTGTTACATGGTGACAAGACGGAGCAATTCCAAACGTCCCAAAAGTCTGAGCAAAACCTCGTGGCGTGCTGCTGCAGTTTGATTCGGATCTTTAGAGGCTTCTTGATTCACAACTCGTTTGAATCAACGAATCAGTAGGCGCGTACCTGAAGTGATACAATATCGCGAGATGGATTCAAATGCACACGGAGCTGTCTGTTGTTCTCGCGATGTTTTGATGTCACACTGATCGGTTTGTTGAAGACGAATCGATTCAACTCTCCGTCCTCCATTCCCAGAATTTCCTGTTCACGGCAGTACAAGGACGGCAGCGCGAGGTAAATAAAACAAGTATTTTTATGACGTTATGCACATAGAAGTGTTTGTTTAGGTTTTTGTTTATATCTGATGTTTGTACCTATTTTTAACAATTACACCCTTTTCACAACACTGTTATGACGCGTTTAACGATCATCAGGATCTAAAATCCTTGAGTTTTTTATATGATTTTTTTATAAAATAACATATATTTGTATTTACGTATGTATTATATAATATGATTACATGTGCGAGGTGTTTCAAACAGTGTCTATGGTCATGAGTAAATTAGAAGTTATTCTCTCTTCTTGCTGGCGTTATCAGTTTCACACTATTTTTTTTATTTTTCTAATTGTCGAGACAACACCATCGTAAAGTTTTCATTTTATTTGAGCAAAGAAGATTGTAAAAAAATGTGTTGTACTTTCCCATTCACTGTGCTGAAATGTAAAAAGGGTCCATAACAGTACATCAACCATATTATGTTATCTTTCACTTTATTTAGGACTAATGATGGGTTAAGACATGTACTTTAATCAAAAACTAACCTTAGGGGTAGTTAACCCAAACGTTACATTTACTTACCATTTAATGAGTGACACAGAATTTAAATATGTACACTGAACTGCAAATAATCTTTACTTCAAAGTCTATACTGCCTGCACATATATTTAAGCCTTTTCCCCTCTGCGCTTTAATTATTATCACTATAAATGATCACAATCTCCCATATGATCTGATGATAGTACTTTTGTTTGATAGTAATGTATAGTGTCTGTATGGTATCTGTAAATGTTTAGTGTGTGAAATTGTTGGACAACCACTACAAACACATTAAACAGGAAAATAAACATGTCTATAGCTTACTAAAAGCCTTTCTGTCTGTTTATATATTTTATATAAATGCAGAGCAGCAAGACCCATGGGATTTCATCAGCCACTCACCATCAGAGTCCTCAGTGGAAGCTGAGAAGAGCAGAAGAGGAAGCCAAGCAAGAGATGCCAGAAAAAAAGGGGGAAGGAAATAATGTGTTATTTTGCTGTTTGAGTATAGGCAGGCGCAGTGGGTAGCACAATCGCCTCACAGCAAGAAGGTCGCTGGTTCGAGCCTCGGCTGGGTCAGTTGGCATTTCTGTGTGGAGTTTGCATGTTCTCCCCATGTTAGCGTGGGTTTCCTCCGGGTGCTCCCACAAGTCCAAAAATATGTGGTGACATTGGGTAAGGTAAAATTGTCCGTAGTGTATGTGTGTGAATGAGTATGTATGGATGTTTCCCAGTGATGGGTTGCAGCTGGGTGGCAACACGGTGGCACAGTAGGTAGTGCTGTTTCCTCACATCAAGAAGGT